AAAAAAATAGTAAATTTATTTTTAATATTCAAAAAAACTTGACAAAAACCACAGTGGTTAAACGAATTCATGGCATTTCAGTGTATTTAAATGAAAAATGCTTCGAGATACGAGCGTATTTACGGAACGAATTAAACTCGTATGTTGGGGTATCATCTTGTATTTTAATATAGCTTTATTTGTAAATGAATCATTTACATTTGCATCATTTAAAATGATATTGAAGGTTTGTTATTCGTTATTTCCGAACATATTGAATTTTGTAATAAAAAATAATAATGAATGTTGTTGCTCGATAAATTTTAATAGTTAATTATTTTGCAAACAATATACTTGAATTTGTTGTCAATAGATTTATTTTCATGATACCTGAACTAACCGCCAAAGTGATTTAAACGGAAGCTATCACTGATTCATAGTCATTATGCGATAACTGTACCCACTTCCTATAAACAGCGTGATAAGCATAAGCAAATTTCCGTTTAATTATGATAACCTCCTTATATAGGAAAAGTTTATTACATTGTCTTGTTTTCGAATTAGTATGTGGAATATATATAGGTAACTCCAATAGTCAAGCTTTCGGGCTCGTGAGCGCGAATCTAGCTCTTATGCTTATTTATCTATGCTCTGGACAACCTGCATCGGTCAGCAGTGATGTCCATTTTTACTAGAAAATATAGATCAAAAATATGTTTTCAATTGAAAATAGTTCATTTCGGGCACTGCGGTGTAAAATGGTAATGAGAAATCTTTTACACCATTCTTCTCTGATTCGAGTTGGAGTTTAACCAAGCTCAAGGACAGTACTACCCATTAGTGAAATTAGACAAAGATGATAATATGAAATTTTACAAATGAGTATTGTATTAATAATATCACTTTAAAATTTCAAATCATAACGAAAATGGTTTGTCACATATATTTTACTTGTAGTTAGGTTCATAACACGTCTGTAAATATTTATCTATGATATTTATTTACCGCATGTGGCATCTCTTGGTGCTCGGCAAAACTCCTTTACGTTATGAAGGTGAATATAGTAACTAAAAATTTACGAACTTGTTGAATTTTTCTAAAATAATTTCTATAACTAGCTGTAAGTAGAATTCTGTCTTAAGGCAATTAGGGCATCGTGCCTTAAGGCAAATTGCTGGAACTTCCCGTAACAAAAATTATTATTTTTTTAAAAACGATTAACATTTTTGAAAAAAAATTATTTAAAAAAATAAAATTTTTGAGAAACTATAAATTGGACAAAAAATTACCTTTTTTTAAAAAAATTTTAAAAAAATTAAAAAAAAAATTTTAATTTTTTTTTTTTGAAAAAAAAAATGTTTTCTTTATTTTGACATATTTTGGAAGATTTGAACTTTTTTTCAAAGCAAACGTACTGCTTTAACTGCATAGAGACAAAATATATGATGCGTAAGCGCCGCGTCGCTGTCTAACGGGTAAACATTGGTACGGAACCCATAGGAATGTAAACAAAATTTATACTTATTATTAAAATCTCTATAAAATATCTGATAATTTGATGTGCATATGTCTAATGATCATTTTTGACCGCCAAATAGCATTTTTTTTTTTACTTTTTTCGTTAGATCTCCGAAACCGCTAGACCTGCCCTTATGAAAATTTAATCAATTATTCATCTTGCCAATACAAGTAAAATGTTTTTTGAATTATTAAAATCGGACGCTCCGTTCTCTTAAAACTGAGGTACCGTTTTTGGCACTTTTTGCCTCATATCTTCGGAACGGCTAGACCTACCTCCGCCAAAAACTAATCAGCACGTCTCCTTATCAATACGAATCGAATGTTTTTTAAATTATTCAAATTGCTTCATCCGTGTTCCCGAAATCGTCGACGAAAATTTGTATCAGTACACACATACATACACGCACACACACACACACACACACATACATCCATTTTTTCTAAAGTATGCCAAAATATTCAGAAACCTCTGAAACGTAAAGATATATCAAAATTTTCATTTCCCTACGGGAAGTTAAAAAAAATTACATCTGTGATAAACTGTGATAGGGAACTGAATAATTTAGGTACAGAAAAGAATGCAGGAAGACATATCTAAATATTTTGTAAATATCATTTGTTTAATACACATGTTTAAACAAACCAAACATTAAAACAAGATAAAATTTAGATTTGCACAATGTATATATTTGTGTACACAAATAAATGTATACACACAAATATATATATATATATATATATATATATATATATATATATGTATTTATAAAGTATTCTATGCAAAAATACTGATCGAGATGATTGTTGAAGTACAAGTTATTCAAATTCTCGGATAATATGATTATCAATTCTGATAACATGAAGAACTACTAAATTGTAGAGAAATACCAAAATTAGATTACTTACCATATTATATATTATTATACTCCAGTGATTGCATATTATTGAAACCTGTTAAAATAAAATATATTAATTTTGATGTAAAAATTTATGCGCTTAAATTCTAACTATAGTAACTGCTACATGCTTCTAAACTAATAATGTAACATAATTTAAAAATCTATTATTTAGTCTAGGCCCTCAACGTTCAATTTTATGCATTATTTTAATAGGTGAGATATCTTTCCTAAGGGCCTCTGAACAAATTTTTATACGGGACACTGCCAAGTCTGGTCTCAATTTAGTTTAATTTAAATAATTTTAATATTATTTTATATCTCTCAAAAATAAATTAAAATATCTACCACTATTTTAAAAAACAATTAAAATGCTACTTTTGTGTGTAAAAATGTGTAAAAATTCTACTACAAACATAAGCTCTAAATAAAGTTTTTTATGACATGATATAAAATAATACTTTGTATTAATACTTTTATTATAATATATTATCTTCTAGAACATTCAAAAAGTATGTAAGAGATATATATTTATAATCAACTTATTTAACGTTTTATTCAACTTATTCAAGTTTCATTCGGCTACAACAGTTTGGTAGGTGAAAGTAGAAAAATATTGAAATGTCAAGAATTTGGTGTATTTAAATTTATTATATATCGCAATATAATATTATATCTCTTACACTCGTATTAGTTTCATAGGCATTTTCATATTTGGGAGTATCTTACAATACGGCTTATTATATAAGTTCAAAACGGAATCTTATTCATATGCATTAGATATACTTCTTACAACTAATTTTGCACTCATTAAAAATGATATTAGGATTCATACAAACCTAGGTTAATTTGATCTTTATTGCAATATATCTTATTTTATTATATAGTCATTCACTCATTTTATACATATTTATTGACAAACTACTTCTTGAGAGCACTCTACTTTTTCAGCATGCTAAAAATATTTTTCATAGCAAGCATCGTTTTTATTATGATATATTCATGCAGTATTCATGACAATATTTAAATATTATTTTTACTAGAAGTATATATTACAGAAAATATCAATAATACTTATTTCACGATATCACTTATGTTTTTAATTACACTAATTAAATGCGCCATATCGCTATATTATATTTTATTTAATTTTTTATATAGTCTGATGAGTGGTATAAAATTTTTCTAATATTTCTAAATATATATATATATATATATATATATACATATATAAACGGAGTAACCTATTTAAAAATATGTTTGTACATTTGATTTTTTTTTTCAATTGAAAAAAGAAAGTTAATTTTTTTACTCTCATGTTTCTTCCTCATAACATTTTCTAGGATAATAATATCTTTATAAGCATATTTAAATATCTTTAAAAGCATTGACTAATATAAACTTAAGAAAATAAACGCTGATAAAACAAAAAATTATGTTTTAAAAGCAACTTTAGATAAATTGAACTCGAGAAATCGAGCTCGTTCTTCATAAAATATTACCATATGCCTTTCAGTGTAGAGCATATTCATACCAACTTACATTATTTTGTAATAAAAAGACTTCCATTGTTAGTAGAGAAATGAAAATTCTCAATGGTCTTTTAAAAATGCGATTCCTATATCAAATAGAATTCAAAGCCTGGTTTGTTTTCGTTTATTCGACCTGCAAGAACTTGAACATTTAGCAGTAAATGCTGCTATTGTTAGAATTACTGCTCCAACACACGTTAATGCTAGTGCGAGGGCCGTGCTGGTTTCCATATCACGAGGATCCAATGCATGATTTTCTGGTAGCAACCGAAAAGATGCTAAAGCATGTGTACCATTGGGCGGTGGACATTGCATCTGCACTATAATGTCCTGATTTTGAACCTAATAAAAATAAATAAAATAAATAGATTTTAAATGAAAGCATAAGATTTTTTTGTTCATAACATACCTGTTTATTCCTACACAATAAATGACTAGTCGTCGCTTGTATAGTCTCTGGGTTAAATTCTTTTGCTGTTATTACAGGTAATAACCATCTCAATGGAGAGGTTAGTTCCATCCATTTTATGTAAGAACCTAAGTCGAGGCTGTGTACAGTCAAACCACTTGACAAAAGCGTGAACATAATAACAGCAGATGCTATCAGAATAGATGTTATTTGTCCACGGACTAGATGCGTGATAAATGTAACCGAAAGTTGTATGGCCATCAAATATAAAACCATGTAACCTAAAGTATATTGATAAGATATAGTGAAAGAAAAAAAATTGATCAGAATATTTAAATTATGATTACATTACCTATATAAGTATATATTGCAGAATATCCCACAGTTTGTAGATTTGTATATGACATCATACCAGTCATTGTATGAGCTGGCGCAATATATGCTACCCATATACATATACTCGGAGGTATCGAAAATAAAAGCTGTAAACAAATATTTAGTTTAGACTAATATTTACTTTAAATGTAAGTTCAACTATTATTACTACAGGTGTTCATTATATTTTACCTTTACAAAAATATATGTAAAACGGCCGTACATTCCCATTCTCACATCTCGTTCCACACTTTTGATATTTTTCATATCTCTATAAATTGCACAAAGTAATATAGGCCAAATGCAGACGGCAGATACCGCATAGTGATACCCAATCCTATCATTTAAATTTAATTGTGGATCAGACGATGGCAAATCCCAGAATATAGCACCAATAGCAAGTGACATAACAATTGACAGGAATAGACGAAAAACCCAACTGACTATTGTATTAGGTTGGCTGTATACCAGAAATAGTCTAAAAATTTCAATAAATGTAAAAAATACTATTAAATTCATTAGTGAAAACATAATGTGTTTAATGTTTACTTCAAAATAATTATAGCCTGCATAAAGGCATTAGGTTTAACAATTCCTTCCGGAAGAGCAGCGGGAGGATCTGGAAGTAAGTTAGGTAATCCTTGCGACGCCCACATTTCTGCAAGTGATTCTATTCTTCCGGAAGATTCGAGCATCGCAGCCGACGATAAATCGTCTAAAGTTACTAAATCCACTGTAATAAAAACAAAAAAATTGAGTAAGAAATGATAATAAAAAATATATTCACTTTGAAAATTGACTTACAATAATAATCAGAAGGGTTTTTGTACATTGGACATGGGTATCCAACGTTTGAGAAATGTTCCACAAAACCAATTCTTGAACCAGAGTACATAACGCGACCACTTGATAGCAAAAGTATGCCCGAACACATCAAAAATATTTCATAGGTCGGTGGTTGCAAAGATAGTATAACGATACGGCCTAAAATTTCAGTAAACAATTTAATAAAATTGTATTTTCTTAGTATATTTATAAAACAAAATACCATTAGCTGCATATTGTCGTAAATATTCAATTAAGAAGAAAGTATCAAATATATCCATTCCCTTGGTAGGTTGATCTAAAACTAATATGGCAGTGTCCTGCAGCAGTTGGCATGCCACTGTCAGGCGTTGAGTTTCTGAATCCGTCAAACGACAAACGGTCATATCTTTCACTTGCTCCAAGCCGAGTTCTTCAATGAGTATGCTTATCTGTTAATGATAGACATTAATTTATAATATATTTCATAACGTTTTTGGTGAGACCACTTATGATATAGAGCAACCCTTACTCTCGTGACGTAAGGATTAAGGTGTAGCGCACAATAGAATTATTTCAAAATATAAATTATATAATTGTAATCTAGCAAGATTTATTACCCTATCAGTCATGTCAGATTTGCCTCTTTGTGGGTATTTGAGTTGTGAATAAAATTTCAAAGTAGTATAAACAGTTAGATGCGAATTATAAGGATGCAAACTTTCACGACGAGGCGCCCATGATATCCGTCTACGTAGAGCCCTCATGTTTACGTGCTGCCCGTTAAGTAGAGCATCGCCGGCGAGTTTCTGAAATTAGAAATTAGATTTACAACTGTTTTCATATTATTATTTATGACAATATCGTCATTGTTTATTACTAACTTTTCGCACACCGGCAATAGTTTCTAACAAACACGAGCCTTGTTCCTCAACAGTGGCCATGACGGCAACGAGATCGCCTGCTCTGGCTTGGAGGGAAACTCCAATTATAGAAACAGGAGAACATGATACTTCTAAATTCAGGAACTATAAAGTAATATTTCATATAGTCAAATATTTTCCAAATGAAGCATTTATACAACATATATTCGTTATCCAAACCTGTATATTGGGATAGGGCATTCCCGTTGACATCATAACGCTATGCGAATAATCTTTTACCGATGGTGCTTGCGTTCCGGAGATTATGCTTTCCGCTTTTCGGCTTTTCACATAGTCTATGTCACCACTAAGGGTTCCAACGTCTGCAATGGAACCCCTTCGGTTTGTATAGTGTGGATATGAAGGTGATAAAAGGTTTGCTTCGCTAGCGGAACGATAATTTCTTAATCCTCCACCTTGGCTTCCGTTGTGTCGATTTGGCGAATGACCTTGCCCCATCGCAACGCTTACGCGACTAGAAGCCTGCTGCAACGCTACCAACGGTATACCAGATAGTTGCTAAGAGAAAATATTAAATTATAATAAAAATATAAATGTATTTGAAAAGAAAAATTTATGATATAACTAAAAAAATATTTGAAAATTTATAAACATAGCTAATTGCGGCTACGTTATAATGCTACTTAGTCCAGTCATTTAAGGGGGTATTCTAGTGTAGAGCGATGAATTTTAGGTCATTTTTAAAGTGTCGTAAAAGAAAGCAATGAATGTTTTTACGATCCATTTTTACCACTTGTTTATTAATATTATTAAAATACAATACAAAAACTAAAAAAAAAGTTGAAAATTAAAGAAACTGGCAGCTCAAAACATTGGCACCTCTGTCTTGACATGATTTCAGCCCTCCTAGCCGTCCGAAATAGAAGAAATAAAAAGATTATCAATCTACAATGATGTCGCAATCGCCCGAACTAGCGATGAGTAAAAAAATTTTTTTTTTCACAAATTGGCGACTGTTTGAAAAACAAGCATCTTTTTTTACTTTTTTTTGAGTTTCTCGAATTTTTTAAATATAGTAAAAATTGGAATTTGGGGATGATGCTAGTTGAAAAAAATACCGAATATTCCACATTCTTCACAGACCGAATACCGAATATTCGGCAACTATTTGGCAGGTTTTTGGCACATAAGCTCGTTTGTATTAATGTAATTAGTATCAGGAATTCTTATATTACTAATGCGCTACATATTTATTCAAGTTTTATATCTGGGCTTGCAAGCCGTTATTTTACTACTCTTTGTTATTTGGAATATTTGGCACCATTTATACTATTCGGCCGAATACCGAATATTTGCATACCACATGCGATAGGGAAATAAATGGCAAAATCATGAAAAAAGCGATTCTTTACATGTATATATGTAAATGTATTTCCAAATATTTTTTTCAGGAACTCTATTTCTTGTATATTAGGAATACTAATTATAATAAAATAAATAAAAAATGATCATAAATATTATTCATATATTTTGCGATATACACCAATTTGCGATATAAAGTCAGTAATAGCTCTTTATTTAGAAATGCATAGATTGAACATAATGAATGACTAATTATATTGATAAAACATGTGCGTGCAACGATTGAATGATTTATATTAAATAATATAAACATGTAACAATAATTCAGAAAAAAGTTCTTCGCGTGTTATTGATAATGTGAAAAGTCGATAAGATTTAAATTATTATATATACAATAACGAAATAATTTCTTCATATCATATTATGTAAACTAAACACTTCCAAAGGCTGATCCATCGCGAGCTCTTTATCGCACAAAGGATAAAACACTAAATATTAAAAAAAGGTGCCGAATATGTAGAATACCGAATAGTAACCAAATGATCGGTGCAAGCCTAATAAAATATATAATATCTTATGAATATATATATATATATATATAAAAAAGTATAAAATCATCACCGTGTTATATTGGCTGACATTACTTCCGCGTCCGTTTGAGAGGAAATCCGGGTCACTTCTGTATTTCCGCTGCAATTTTATATGTCTGCTTGTTTCGTTGTCGGAACTGTCGTATCCTGATGATCCGTTCTTATAACCCCTATTTACGCGACCTCTAAAGTATCATAAAAAAATTACATGAGAATTTCATTTTAAAACTCGTCTAAGGAACAGAAATAGTATATATTTAATTATGTTAAATTTGTGCATCCATAAAAAATTTAACTAAAAAAAAAACAAATATCATTTGATGAAATGAATACAAGTATCAGATTAACCCACTTTCTGCCAAAATTTGACTTGGTATCTTATAATAAACCATAAATTTTGGTTGATAAAACGTTTTAAAGAATTATATCTCTGTAAAAAATTTAATCATCTCTACTATTATTATATTTATTAGAAAAAATGCAGTTTGGATTATCTAACCTATTCCCAGATCTTTGAGAATGTGGGGCTTGTCTTCGTGATCGTTGAGAATCTCGGATGCCGCCATGGTTGGGTGGAAAAACGCGCGGCAATCCAAATTTCAAATAAGTGTACATGTTAGATCCGAGTGCTGATCTGTAAAATTAATTGAGATTAATGGATTATCCTCACCAAACGTAAAATAAATTAAATAATAAACTAGTGGTGTATGGCATCGTGCCTTAAGACAAATTGCTGGAACTTCCTTCAGCGTACCGAAATGTTCGTGGAATATTAAATGATTTGAAATAGATTATTATAAATACTATAACATTGTCTAATATTTACAAGAATTATATAAACTGAATTATAAAGTTAAAATTATTTATTTAAAGTATATGAGTGAGCTTTAGAATTTTAGCCAGAATTAAAATTAAAATCTGAAGTATTTTCGATATGAAAAAAATGAAATAATTTTTTTTCCAAAAGCAATTATTTTTTCAAAACAAGCAGAAAGTTTTTTGAATCAATCATATCGGATGCTTAGTGCTCTCAAAAACTGCCATTTTTTGCACAATTAGCTCGGTATTTCGAAAACGGCAGGACCTGCCTTTGTCATTACAAATTGAATGTTTTTTAGATCATTCAAATCGTATGCTTCGTTCTCTCAAAACCTCGATTTCTATTTTCTGCACTCTTTGCTCCGTATTTCCGTAACTCCTGAACCTGCCTTTGCCAAAAACTAATCAGCACATCTCCCTATCAATAGAAATCAAAGGTTTTTTGAACCAATTAAATCGGTTGATCTGTGCGAACGAAAAAATGCGGAGATATAATACACACACATCCACTTTTTCTGAGTATGTCAAAACACATACACACATCATTTTTTTTTTTGAAGCCTTCAAAATGTGAAAATATGCAAAAAAATTTATTTTCGATTTTCGGCCCATTACTATAATTACCCCACGGGAAGTTAAAAATCGGCTTGGCCAATTATTGTGCAAAACTATTCAATGCAAGTCCCACATTGATACATCCATCAAATGGCTTTTATATTTTTGAAATTGGTGCTGCCGTTTACGAAAAAACGTGGACGAAATATATCGCAATATCGGTACATACACATAAATACTTTTTTCAAATTTAGTCTCAATTGTTTCAGAATGACTTGAAACGTCGAGAAAACAAATTAAAATTAAAAGACAGCAAACCGGATTTTTCGACGAACCTCTTCTTCGGGAAGTTAATAATGGTATAGACCCCTTTGTTTGGGATAATTCACCAGCAAATTACGTCATCATATTTAATATGTGTAATATCTTAATTTTCATGTATATGAACATATGTAATTAACATCTGCATACATATACATTAACGCGTACACACATATATATTTTTATTAAGATAAAGAAAACTCCAACTTGTTTATATAATTAATCAGGAACGAGAGAAAATATGAGCAATAATTGTTTACATAAATATTATAGGTTTGTTTATACGTAAATATATAACATTGCCTTAGCAATAATAACACGAATTGTGAATTTTATTCTTGAAACGTGATTAGGATTAAACTGCATCGGGCTAAGTCAGGTGAGTTAGTTATGGACGAGCAATAACGCGGATCGGTTGTGTGCACTAGGATTGACGGTTTGTGTAAATCAAATTTTTAATACAAATCTATAAGGCTTTTTATTAAATTAATATTATAATTTATTAATTATTTTAATTATAATATTGATTTTATTTAAATTTTATAAATCCTAAAATTCTACATTATACTTCGCAGATCCAAGCGAGCGTCGCATCAAGTCGAGCCGACCAAGAGCGACCGAAAAAAAGAAGAAAGATCTGATCTTAACCTAAAGATCATGGCATCAAGAAAAATTCTCCTCCAAATCCGGTGAACGATATTCCTGTTGATCTCCTTCCTGACTCATCAGTCTCGTCAGATGATACATTGGAATTTCGTGAAGTGCTAACATTAAGTCGCTTAAACATGGACTGCTTGGAAGCTTATCTTCGGGAGTCAGTTATTATGGCAAGGTATATAAAAGAATACATGGATAAGCTCAAAGACCTATACAGACGTCAAATGCAGCTGGATTTACCTGGGGAAAAACCTCCTTCGAAAGCAAGAAAGATATTTTTTTGGCGGCGGCGTAAATGATTTCGTTATCATTTACTCTAATCTTCGCGCGCACCGAATGCTATGTTATCCAATAACATCATATGTGAAATTAAAAAAAAAAAACAAAATATGTCGGCTTTGTCTTAAGTTTTGTTTTGATCTACCAACAGATTTTTATTAATTGATGCCATAAATTTAAAGATATATGTTAATGTCTTATCTAGTTTTTAGTGTTTTTTAGTTTGATTTACAGTATTACGCTATCGGCATTTCGTTGGAATTATTCACGTAATACAGTGTGAAAATTTTAAGTTAGGGGGCGTCCATTAATCACATGAGCGATTTCTGAGGATTTCTGGAACCCCCTCCCTCTTGGCGATACATGGTGATATTTAAGATTATCCCTCACCTAATATCACGTGTATTTTTAGTACTTTGAAAAAATGTTACATTTTTCCAAATTTTTTGACAAAATTTGAATTTTCTTTTTAAATTCAGGTAAAAAATAATTTAATATCTTACTGGGTCCTTATACCATTTTATCAAACCCCTTCTCATCTTTTAAGCGTGATTAATGGACGCACCCGTAGAAATTATAAGTCGCTTATATTTTGCTGAATATTTTTATATGGGAGATAGTAATACTAACAGTAGGAAGATCGTAATGTATGCAAAACAACATTCAGGTAAAAAGTATTAATTGAAGTAAGTCTTTATGCGTTTAAACATGTGTATTATATTTATAATTAAAAAATTGCATGCATTTCTTTAGCTGATTTTTTCTATTTATAATTTAGGCTTGTTATATATAGGTATGTTGTAACCATAGATAAATAAGTATAAACTATAAGTATAAAATATACATAAGTAAAAAATAAGTATAAAAGTATAAGTATGGTTGTAACTGGAAATAGATTCAGCAGGTACAAAAACCAAAATTATCTGGTTTGTAAACCTTTTACAAGAAGTTCTACCCCCCGCTTCCAGCAGCATCACTTTGCAATTATTTTGATGGCCACGAAATATCGTTTAAGTAAAACTATTATATCTATGGCAAAAGTAAGTAGATGTGCTTTCAGTTAAAAAAATGAAAACTAGAAACAATAATTATAGAATATTTTTGTTATTATGATTTAATGCCATATTACGTTATGTTATTAGTTGCTTTTTTTAGCAAATTGAAGTGAATTGAAATATATGGACCGATTCTGCCTCATAACAGACCAATGTTATGGCAAGGCCATAACTTTCCATACTAAATATTGACAAAGGCCATGAGGTTTCTGTGCAGTCAGGCGTATTTCTCAGGTTGGTAGATAGGAAACCTAACATAGAAACCGCACAAATGTCAAACAAACGATCTTAGATAATAATAAAACGCCTGAATGCATAGCAAATACATGACATTTTGACAGTATTCAGCATGACTCAGTAGCATAATGTATGGAAGTTGGAGCGTATCATGACCTTGCCCATAACATTTTTCTGTTATGCGGCAGAATCGGTCCCTTATTGTAAAAATAATAATGAACTTCACCGGATTTGAGTGAGCAATATATTTTAGATTTCATAATTCTTTTTCGGCTTCTTTGGTTCGATTTGTCAACCGACTAATAGATTTGCTGTAATTTCATTTAAATAGTTGCTGAAAAGTATAGCTCTTTATGTTTGTCATTTGTGTGTATTTTTCTCATTGCTATTATGACGTACTTTGGACCGTAACGAGGATGGGACAATATCGACTGCACCGTTGTATCTCGAAGCTGAAAGTTTCCGTACGGCAGCGGCGATTTGTCAGAGCTGCCCAAAGCAGAATCTGTGAAGTCCGAGTTCAGGTTTTGCCTGGAACAGAAAATATTAGATATTAGAAATTATTAGTGGTGCAAATAAAAATGTTTGAGTCACAAACAGCAATTGCTAAAATTTAATAATTCAGTAATAAAGTTTCCAAATAATAAGCAATCTTGCGATTCACATGCGATGACTGGGCTCGCCCATAGGTGAGCAGTTCGATACCCACTTCGAGCAGCCTGTTGTCAGGCAGCAGTGACAACGATTTTTACTTGGAAATATAGATAGCAATATGTTTCCAAGTGAAAATAGCCCTTGCCCGGCATTGCTGTACCAATAAAAAGTCAGCCCTATCAGATTATTTCTAATAACAGAAATCATCAAATATGGATGGATTAACCATTGGGTTACCATCTAAAAAATACGAAGTAAGGAGAAGTTTCAGCCCAACAGCTCATAGGACGTAAGGTTCTGATTGCTGTTAAAAAATATAATAAAAAAAACATGCGTTGACTACGTGCTTTTAAATTTAGTCATTTTGTTATGTCATCATAATGTAATAACGAGAAAATAACATAATATTTGTGCCGAACACGTCATTGCGTTAACTGAACTATCCTAACAGTACTGTGACTGACAAAGGAACAATTTGTATCACGGGACTTGTTGTGCAGAGACAGGTATATAAATTCATGTTTTATCGGCTTGTCTATTTATTCATGCTTTATTGATCATAGAGAGCTTATTATACGTAAGATTGTCATTTTTGATACTATAAAAAACTAGTGGGATGCATGGCATCGTGCCTTAAGGCAAATTGCTGGAACTTCCCGTACCGTAACTAAAATCTTGGTACGGAACCAAAAAAAAAAAATTATACAAAATGTGAACACATTATTAAAATCTCTATAAAATATCGGATAATTTGATGCGCATATGTCTAATGAATATTTTTGGCCGCCAAATGAATTTTTTTCAAACTTATTCTTATTGAGAGTCCATAACCGCTGGACCTGCCTTTCAGTGCTTCATCTTGTCAATACAAGTAAAATGTTTTTTGAATTATTAAAATCGGACGCTCCGTTCTCTTAAAAACTGAGTTACCGTTTTTGGAACTTTTTGCCCAGTATCTTCGGAACGGCTAGATATGCCTTCGCCAAAAGCTAATCAGCACGTCTCATTATCAATATGAATCGAATGTTTTTTGAATTATTCAAATCAGTTGATCGGTGTTCCCGAAATCGTCGACGAAAATTTGTATCCACACACACACACACACATGCATCTATTTTTTCTAAGGTATACCAAAATATGCAGAAACCTTTGAAACGTAAATATATATAAAAAAAAAAATATTTCTGATTTTTTTGCGATTATTATAACTTACTTACTCCTACGGGAAGCTAAAAAACATATATTCCTGGATCACAAAATTAAGTTTTCCACGATAAATCTATATAATGATTATTCAATAAAAAATATGTAACCAAAAATAAGAACTAATATCTGATATACTACTTGTATATATTAGGTACAGTAATACCCCGTTTAACGCCGTTTCGTTTAGCGCTCCTTTAATTCAGCCCAGATTTTGAAGGGGTAAATGTGGAAAATGTCGAAGAAATAATTTAAGAAGCAGCTCAGTCTTTCTAATGATGAGCTCAAGGATTTAACTTTAACTGAACAAGAAGAAAACAAAAATGTTGACATCAGTGATTCCGAGGAAGGCCAAAAAGAATTTTTGGTGACATTTGTAAAAAGGGGTTTGTCAACCATAACTGAAATAATGGACCAATTCATTGAAAACGATCCAAATTTTGACAGGAGCTCAAAAGTAAGGCGTGTTGTTAGAGGTGCTCTATCCGTTTATGAAGAACTTTTAGAACAGAGAAAAAGGCAAACAACATTAGATGCTTTTGTCACAGAAAAGCAGAACACTGAAAGTGCGGAAGGCTAACTAATTATGACTGACATAGAATTTTATTTGTTTTTTCAAGAATATTTGTTTTTTATTTATATTTTGTTTTTATTTTTGCTAGAATTAATAATATGGTATAAATTTGGACTTATATAAAAAAAATTGAAATTTAATACCTAACCAATTTCCTAGCCGTTTTCCCCTAACCCGAACATTTCCATATAAAGATAGTCTCGTTTAGCGCTGTTTCACAATGCGATCTAGTTTGATGGAACGAAACCCCCCCCCCCCCCCGCGTTAAGCGGGGTATTACTGTATTTGTTGATTTATTATTGAAATTATCAAACTGATTTTCACCTGTAAATTGACCAGGCGTGCAGGTCCTCGGAGGCGGGCGGGCCGTGCATTGCCATACTTTGGTGTGAAGCATGCTGGTGGCCCTGCGGAACTAAATATCGGCGCTCGCCCGACGCCCCGCCCGATATGTGAGACATTGCTACCGAATCTGAAAAACAAATAATAAATTTAGTAAAAAATTACATAAATTACATTTATTAGTGTTTCTTTTCTAACACTAAGTACAAAAAATAATATAAAGTAAGTTTTTCAGTTGTTTATTTTCGACGTTTCGGAACTAGATATGTTCCATCATCAGACTTCATACTGCCAAGAATATTTTTTATATAGAACAATATTGTTGGATAACTGATGATGTAAAGTTAAACAACTTATGAAAAGCTTGAAGGAATGATTATGTACCCAATTTTTTTAAAAAATATATTAAAAAATTGAGAAACAAAAAATTATTTACCTTCAATTTAAAAAAAACTATTGGTCCATATTTTTATTTCAAAAGTACTAGTATAAAATTGATATTTTAAAATTTGCATAAAATACGATAGACTTAATAAAAGGCGTTAAAATATCTTAAAGCAAAAATCTTTTTCATTATTTAATACGTTGATATTTGATAAAAATAATGATTTTTAGTTTTGTAAATTGAAAAAAACGAAGCTTGTTGTGTTCGTATGTGTTAATATTTTTTTATTAAATTTAGGAAATTTTATTATGAATCATGAAGAATGTTATAGTCAGGTTTTTATTGGCGCTATTAGACGAATTTAAGATCAAATAACTTTCCGCAAAACGTCTTTTAAAAAATGCAAATCTTTATATAGAATAATTGGATCCAAAACGAAGGAGAATTTTCAATTAAATGTTAAACTAGAGTTCTTTGTAAACTTTATGATGAATTGGGACTGGTCAAGATTTAACCAGGGCTTTTTCTATTTAACCCGGGACCCTTTGGGGTAGGGGATACAATGGGAGAACTATAGGGGATATAAGGGAGACTAGCAAATGTAATGAGAGAAGAAGTTTGTAGAGTGAAGATCAATATATATCATAAACTAAATAGTGGTGTTATTCTTATGGTGATGGAATATTTATAATTCACAGTCCGCTTATATCAAATTAATCATAGTGATCCTCACCAGGGACATTTACGTGCTTCCTAAAAAACTGTACAATTACAAAAGGTTTACTAAGTATTTTGTATATTTTCAAATTTGTGATATGTGAATCTAAGAAACTCGGCTGAACATAATTTGTTCAAGAACAACGCTTTCAAGCACTGAGAAATTGGTATCAAATTCGCATTACCATAATATGAATTACGGTATCGATTACATTGAAACTGGTTTTATGTTAGATTTAAATAAGTGTGCTAGATGGTATGCAAATCACTGCAGTTATAAATGTAATAAAATTAGGAATTATAATTTAAATTAATTTCATTTATTATGCTTACTACAAACCGCATTAATTTCAAAGAGTCAAAAGTAAGTTTTTATGTTCGAATTCTTTTAATAATAACTGTTAATTGCACACAGATAGATCATTTTGTTTGTTATTTTACTGTGGGTAGAATATTAGTTTTCAGAAGTCATGTATTTCTTGTCCTTTTCGGTTGGAGATTAAACAGATAAAAAAATCTAACTGAACTAATTATAAGACAAAATACGAAAGAGAAAGGAAAAATTAAATTCAAGAAAAAAAAAAGATTTTACATAGAAATCTCTTGTCAAGTTTGTTTAAAAACATATGTTGTGTTATATATTATTATATTTTATTCTTGAGCTTTGTTTAAATGTTTATGTTGTGTTACATATTATTATATCGACAATCAAATAGTCGTTATAAACCATTTTGGTGTTAATACCTATTGTTTTTAAGCTATTTTTATGCTTGTCACAATAGTCTCTGGAGGTCTTTGAACAAAAATAAGAAATAAGACATCTACATGGTACTATGATGATGCTTTTGGAAAGCAACCCAATGATTATACTATCTATTTTAATGTTAGGGGGCGTCCATTAATCACATGAGCAAGTTTTTAAAGATTTTTAGATCACCCCCTTCCACCAAACATCACGTGTATTTTTAGTTACGTGATAAAACTGTATTTTTTTAAAAATTTTTGAAAATGTTTGAACTTTTTCAAAAAATTAGATAAAAAATAAATACACGTCATATCTTACTATACCCCTCCTCCTCCCCAATGTGATATTTCGTAATTTTTTGTCTAACCCCCTCCCCCTAAAAACCTCACGTGATTAATGGACGCCCCCTTATTAGAATGCAAACCCAAAATTTGCCATTTCTAATAAAGGCGATATGTTTTTAACTTATACTGATTAGATTTTTGTGTATAGAAGTATTATATTGACAATTGTATATTGCACTTTTTATAAGCGTGAGTAAAAGTTGGTTCTATGAACGCATTGACCGTTTGTACTTGAATGATAAATATAAAAATTTTATTATAAAAATATATAAACTGCTGTAAATTTATAGGATATCAATATGTAAAACATGATACACGATGATGTACTAACTTAACCAAGTCACTATCCCCGTCAGTCCATGTCTGGTGTTGTATCTGTCGATGGAATTGGATCTGGTGCGATAGGCGTGCACAAATGCATTCCGAGCGTCAACAGGCGCCTACGGCACGTGTTCGCATATTAGATCAACTAAATTGCTGCACAGAGAAGTGAAAGTATGTATAACGCTCTACAAAGGCCTATTAGCACTTCACAACATAGGTGAACAAAATATGCACTGATGCAGGTATGTTGTGGGCCGCAGATTAAAAAAAAACTCAGTGTACTACATGTGATAAGTAAAATTCATTGAATTACAAGGGAAAACTTGAATAGAAAAGAGAGATCCAAAGATCATAAAGAATTGTATATAATGAATTATAATACAGGGTTCCAATATGAGTTCTTTAACACGAACATGTGCTCATTAACCCTTCTGCTACGAGTGTCGTCCATGGACGACATCCACATGACGTGTGTACGGATGTCGTCCATGGACGACATGTTCTGTGTAGGTCTTTGCTTCAAGAATTATCACTGAGTTAAACTATTGTTAGTTATAATTTTTAGTTTTTTAGAAGCGTAATTTTCAACTTTACAAAACATTTTTATTGATATTGATAGAAATATCTTAAAATATACCTTTGTGTCTGGTGCGTTCAGTAGCACTATTAATGGACAACACTCCCATAGCAAAAGGGTTTAATAAGAATTGATATTTAGCTATTTAGATCAAAATTTCAACTATTGTTTCAAAAATAATTTGCTCTTATTAAAAAATAATCAATTTAAAATAATATCTTGTACATTTTTATAGTGATCACACGCTGTATGTCCTAAATGCGCAGTTCTTTATTCCAAACTTCAATGAATATTTATAATTCAACCACATTTCATGAAACTCTATAATACTTTCATATGTTCTTTCCGTTTAGGCACTATAAACCTTATCGCCAAGCTAAGGTATTTTTAAAAACGCCCAATATTTTTTTAACTCGGCTGATCTTTACCAAAAAGTAATTACCATGTTCCCCATCTGAAATAGCTCCATCAGTTTAAGAATTTTCAAAATCTGGTTAGGATCTTTTACGATAAAGTGGACAGACAATTTTGCATTTTTTGTTCTAAATTTTCTAATTCTAAAGAAACGAATCGGCTGATCGTCTCATAAAACTAACAAAAAAGTGCCTTTATAGAGCTTCATCGAATAGATTTTAAATTTTGATATTGGTTCAGGCGTATTTAAGAAAACGTTGATGGAATGTCAAATTTCGGCTCGCATACACATACGTTTTTTTCAATTTTCCAAATTTCTACTCCAAATATACTATGTTTCCAGTGTTTTAACTAAAGGTAGAAAATCTATAGAAATATTATGAGAATCATAAAATTGTTGCAATCTAATGGACGGCAACATTTCGTAAAATAGTTAACTAGTTAGTAAAAAACAAGATAAGATGATTTTGTCAAATCATTTTTAATGCCATTAATAATTAGTAATAAAATATTACTTAAGTAGTGACCTCAAGTATAAAATTAAATAACACCGCGCTCACAAAAAATCGAAACGTAAGGGCAAATTGAAAAAATGAACATTGATATGATGCGGGAGTTGGCATTTACTTGGCCTTAGTCTTAGCTTAGCTTCATAGTAAAATTATTATATCATTTAATAAACTAAGTCTTACAGGAGTTCTTTTTACATATCGCCCTTCTGAATATTGCCAATTTAGCTCATAGAAATGCTAAAATGAAACAAAGTAAAAAAAATGGGGAAGTGATATGGGAATCTACTAGACGACTACATTTGGTAAAATAGCTATTTGAGCTGAGCTTAAAAAAGAAGATCGGACGTGTTAGTCAATTCATCATGTCATTAATAATTTCAAACATTATTAAAAATTAGTAATAAAGTATTACTAAAAATGTATATGAAAAAATTTTATATTTTTATGAAATCTGGTAAAATTATTAAAAATCTTATATCTACTAGCTAAGCTACCATAAACTAATATATGATGTATGTGATTAATATATAACCCCTGAAAAACTTTGCCACTTTATGTTGTTTGTCCAGATTATGTTGAAGAAAACGTGTTAAACACGATCTTAAAATTGTATAATGTTTGTTGTTACACTCGAAGTGTATGAGCAACATTCCGGGCGTGCAAAAGCTATTAAGGAAATGGTAAAATGTAGTAATATCGTTTGACATTTTTGTTGTTGGAGCATTTTTAGCTTTCAGCTTCCACTGTGCATTCATTTCATACGCACACGTTTCGAATGCATCGAGGGAACTGCATTCGCTGATCTGCATTCGCGACCGCGAGAGTGAACGTATTCCGAGCCGCGCCTCGCGGTTTGTCTTCCACATAGATATGAACGTGCGATAATCGACACAGAAGTCCTCTAGCAAATTCTAACACGAACGCCCAACACGAATCGACTTCGGAAATGAGCCATGGCTGTGCAGGAATTACATATTGTGAAGAGATCTAAAAAACTTATTTCAAAGTTGGAGACGCGCGCAAATAAAATACACCAATCCCCCAATTTACACGGCAGATAGGTTCCATAAAAAACGTGTAACCCGAAAAATGTAATGCAATTCGCTATTATA